GATGAGGATGACCCTGTGCATTGGCTATGAAGACAGGAATGGGCCTGAGCATATGAAAAGGAAAGAATCCTAGAGCTGGAAGAGATCCCAAGGGCTGTCTAGCCCAACCCATTCTGCCATGCAGGAATACGCAGACAAAGCACCCCCAAAAGATGGCCATCCAGCCTCTATTTAAAACCTTCTCTGAAGATGAAAGAAGGGAAACGATTAACACTTTGCACAGGCTCAGAGGTACTCTTGCACCAAAATAACCCCAACCAGGTTTCAACGACTCAATGGGGAGGGAGAGAGACCCATTTCCAATTCAGAAGTGTCTATTCTAGTCTTGGTTTTTGTTGTTGTTGCTTTAATTAAAACTAAAAAAAAAAATAGAACTTGGGTGTCCTTTTAAAGGTGGGGCTTCAAGAGGATTCTTTTCAGCTCCTGGGCTTGCGAAAACCTGGCAAAAAGATCGTAGAATGACCTCGAATGGAAAAAGCAACATCTCTCTCAACCTTGGTAACCTCAGCTCATTTCCTTCACAAACTGCACAAGATAAATTAAGTTTGAACTTCTTTCCCAGGGAGGGTTGCTTTTCCTTACTTACTTTAAACGGTGAATGTGTCTCTGTTTCTAATATTGCCTTTTACAGTTGACCCAGGGGTCTGTCTGTTTCTTCTGTCCCATCAATACATCAGCTCCTGCCAGGTATTTTTTTTTCCGTAAAGCTTTTGTGCTGATCAAGTCAAGACTGCCTCTTTCCTAGAACTTCTATTCTCTTCTGAATGACTTCTGCAAAAAGCTTTAAGTAAAATGCCTGCTTCCTTTCTGAAAATACCCAGTTTACGGATAGAGGAGACTGAGACTATACTGGTCTGTGATCTACCAAATCTCATCCAATTCATTAAGATTTTTTTTTTATCCCAGCTATTTATTGGGTGTTCTCAATGTGGCAAACAGATAAAACAGTTTAAACAATACCAGATTAAAATCAATGAATAAACAAGACAAACCACATATCGAGCTATGTCGCATAAGATGCTCAGAATTCAAAGATATTGCCATGTTACTCTGGAAAATCATTCTGGAAAGGAATGTTGTAGCATTAGTCTCAAAGGTGCTACAAGATCCCCTTGCTTAAGAATGCTCACTTTCGTATGTTTTAACTGCATTGTCCTTTTCAATTGTAAGCCACTTTGAGTCCCAATTTTGGGGGGAGGGAAGTGGGATAGAAATAAATATAACAACCTCAACTTTAAACACATGCACCCAGTTTCTTAGGTCAACGTCATTGCCTTTTCTGTGGATGCTCTTTAAGATTTCTGTCCTTCTGAGTTGTCATTTCTGACTTATGGAGGTACTAGAACTTATCAGAGTTTTCTGGGTTTGAGAGTAAGTGACCCAGTGGGTTTCCATGGCCGAGCGGGGAATTGAATGAACCCTGGTCTTCAGAGTCTTAGTCCTACGCTCAAACCACTATGCCATGCTGGCTCCTGCATTGTTGTGTGACTTCAAGTTGTTTCCGATTTACAGTGAACCTATCATGGGGTTTTCTTGGCGAGATTTGTTCAGAGGTGGTCTGCTATTGCCTTCTCCTGAGGCTGAGAGCATGTGACTTACCCAAGGTCATCCAGTGGGTTTTATGGTCAAGCAGGGATTCAAACTCTGCTCTCCAGAGTCCTAGTCCTATGCTTAAACCACTATGCCACATTGGCTCCTGCATACTGGGGTAAATTTTGTTGGCGAGACAGTCAAGAAAAACACCCACTTGACAACTGAATCAGCCAATATATTGAGCTTTTAGGCCAAAAGTTAGCAAAGGCTTTCTAAAACTAGAGATGTTTCAGAACTCCATACTGCCCAGATAGAGGTGACTTGGCCCTCTGCACTGGCTGAAGAAAAAAGCACTCAGTACATGCTCCGTGGAGAACCAGCATGGTGTAGTGGTTTAAACATTGGACTCTGACTCAAGAGACAAGGGTTCGAATCCCAGCTCAGCCATGGAAACCCACTGGGTGACTCTGGGCAAATCACACTCTCTTAGCTTCAGGATGGCAACGGCAAACCCCCTCTGAAGAAACATGCTAAGAAAACCCCAGGATAGGGTTGCCTTAGGGTTGCCATAAGTTAGAAACAACTTGAAAGCACACAACATATGTACATGTTCCATTAAGTGTGCTACTTACTTAGCCCAGTCCTGGCTCCAAATGAGGCCGGCAAATTCTCTCAAGGGCGACAAGTCGTGGTAATTCTTTACCAGCAAGCCTAGCAAACTGTAAAGATTTGGGGTTTTTAAATTCAAGCTTACCAAGAGGGTTTCCTTCTACAAACAAACACAGGCACCATGTTATCTTTTTAAAGGCCTGGAATTTGCTAGATTCCCCACCTGGTCATGGGAATCCCTTTTGCTTCACTAGTTCCACAGTTTAAGCGGCTGTTAGGCCTCCAGGGTGGTCTCCCCTCAGGGAAGGGGGGACGAAGCTACCGTGGAATGCTTTGGGATTAAGCCGCTCTTGTGGCAAACTCAGATTGGGGGTGGGATGTGTTGTCACATTCCCCTCTTCTTCCAAAGTGTCATGCGGATCTGCTCATGTACAGCCCAGGACTGGGCCAGCAAGAGTTGGTGCTTCCACACCCAGAATCCACTCTCTTACCTACAGAGAGAGATACTGTTCTCTGTGCCATCCCAGATTTTGCCTGTTCTTGGGCTGTGGTGGAGATAGAGCAGCTGAATCACAAAGGGGTAAAGCCCCCTTTGTGGACTACAACTCCCAGAATCCCCCAGCTGACAAACAGAAAAGTTTACATGTCTTCTACCTGTGTCAGTTGTGGGAAAGCTGCTGCTGTGGAACAGCGACTGCATTGTGGGAATAAGCTGCCCCGGCTAAAAGTTGCAGATGAGGATTTTCTACAGTTGTGGAGATGGATGTAGATGAGAATTTTTGTACAGTTGTAGAATTCGAAGGGACACCAATTGTCATCTAATCCAACCCTCATCAATATGGGAATTCACATCTGAGACATCCCTGACAGGTAGGATATTCAATTGCCCTTTTTTGGGCAGGGATTGCACTAAACCCAATATATGGTTTAGGAGCAAAGAGACTATCACTTGCACATTTCAAGCAAAGGACAATTCAAATCTTGATATGTTCAGAATGATTAAAACAGTACAATCCAGAGATGATTGTACCATTTTTATCTTTGAAAAGGAGGAATAGCATTTTTAATGTTCATCCCTTTCTAAAGGAGAAGTTCTAGCCAAGAGTTCCCTATTTCATTTCTCTGTTTACGGCGGAGTTTTCCTTTTTATTTTAAGTAACACGAACATTTTAAAAAGCATTCCAAAATCTGAGTCTGCTAACCCCAGCCCAAAGTGTCATGGTCCACTCTCTTGTCGCAGGACTTTACCATCTTGTTTTGCAGCCCACATAGGCCAGACATGAGCAAGGGTCTTGGAAAGGAACTGATGCTTGCAGTTAGCAAGAGAAAATGTACAACCAAGCCAAGTGGGAAAATCTCAAAAGGTTTTTTTTTTTTGCACTACATCTCCCAGAATCCCCCCAACCAGCATGGCAGATTCTGGGGATTATAGTCAAGCAGAGAGTGAAAACTTCCTCAAATTTGGAACATGACAAGAGTTTCTCAATAAATATCTCTAAAGTGGTCATGCTCCCCTTAAAATGAAGGTAGAAGCATAGACTCACAGAACTGGAAGGGACTCCAACCCTCCCAAGCAGGAAAAGGCAGCAAAAGCATTCCTGAGAGATGCCCATCCAATGTCTAAGACTCCCAAAGAAGACTCCACCTCACTCTGAGGCAGTTCATTTCATTGTTAAACAAATCTTCCAGTCAAGAAATTATTCTTAAAGTTTGGGTGGAATCACCTTCCTTTTCATTTAAATGGACTAGATTGTATCCTAATCCTCTGGAGCAAAAACAAGCTTGCTCCATCTTTTTCTACATGTCACCCCTTCAGGTATTTATAGATGACTATCCTATCGCTTCCCATCAGTCTTCTCTTCTCCAGACTGCATCTACCCATCTCCTTCCTCGCAGGGCTTCATTTCCAGACCTTTGGTAGTCAAACAACAGGAAGGGCAAAGCGAGGATCCTCTGGTCAGGAAACCTGGGTGCCTGGTTCCAAATTCCCCTCCCTGCTCCTCATGACAAAAGCCAGATGGCCGGTGGTCTTGGCGGCTCTGATAACCTCCAGGGGCCAAAGCGCACATTCCAGGCCTGGCTTCGGGCAGCCCCTTCTCCCACCCTGCAATTTCCTGGTGCATCTGGGAAGGGGGGGCCTGGTCCCTTCTAAGAGGCAAGGGATCTCCTCCTTTTAGGTCTTAGTATTGAATTTTAAGAGCAAAACAACAACAGAGCAAACCCAATGTAACACTACTGAGAGAAAAGTCCCAACAATGGAGTTGAGAAATGGATAGATAGAGGAAATGTTATTATTTTTATGGGTCAAAATAATAGGGACCTTTCTGGGGGGTGCACCATGTTGTCATGTTTTCAAAAACTAGGGTTGGAAAGGGTTTTGACAATGATAAATACTTGTGCCCCAATTAATGACCCCTTCCTTATAGGAGGGGAAATGCGTTGGTCAGTCGCAAAATTTGAACAGACTTGCTGAAGCAATGGGATTGTATGTGTATGTGCCTTCAAGTCACCTGTTGACTTATGGTGCCCTATAAATTTCATAGGGCTTTCTACCTACAGCACCTGATATTTCTTGGCAGCCTCCCATACAAGTACTAACTAATGCTGAACCTGCTTAGCTTCCAAGATCAGATGGGATCTGGTGCCTTTTAGGTGTTGCTGGCTTAAATCCTGTTGCTAGTCCTGAATAAAGTTGCTAGAGACCTCCAAAACCCTGTTAAAATCCTGGCTTAGGTCTTGCAAGCTCATGGCAGCCGTGGCTTCATTGACTGATTAGAGTAGACCTGTTGAATCAACAGGATCTACCTACATGTTGACTCACATTCAGTAATTGATTGAATGGGTCTACTCTAGGATGCCAGCCATTAGATCAGCAGCTGATCTGCTAGCAATCCGTTTTAGGCCTTTCCATTGAGCACTTTTACTCACCATTTTGCAGCCTTTTGGATATATCTTTTATTTCACACAGGGTGGGGAAAAAGGGGCAGAGGGAGCAACAAATGTCACTTTTCCAGCCAGTGACCAAACTGGCTAGAGGATTCTGGGAGTTGTATCCAAAAGAAGTCCTAGATCCCAGCTCTGACCTTTCCTAACTTTGTAAAAGTGACACTTTCGAAACAGGAAGGAGCTATCTTTAACCCATCCAGTGTTCCTGTAGCTCTGCCTACACTCTGATGGTTGAGCCTGAAACTGCTGTTCCCTTTGGGTGAATAAACTGAAAATCTATCCCCCCTCCTCCAGAACACATCTATTTGTAAAAGGGATGGGGTTTCTTTTGCCCACTGAGATAGAGTGAGGCAACTGCCTCAGACAGCTGGGAATGCAGCACTTAATGAGTCTCGGGGTGTGTGTATTTTGTCTCCTGTCCTGCATTTACAAAACTAATCCCCTCAGTAGCATTTCAGGAGATCTTGGAACAGTTCCTTTTTTTTTGGACTACAACCCCCAGAAGCTCCAAGCCAGCATAGCTGGCTTGGGGGTTCTGGAAGTTGTGGCCCAAAAAAGGAACTCTCTCCTATACGCTGGTGGTCTCAGGCACCAAAATCTCTTCAGACGGCCCCATGTCACAAGCGTGGGATTTTGCTCATGCCCAAGAGATCTTAAATGCTGTGCTCTCTCTTCCTCTCTTTTCAGTTTTTACATACCCAAGCCGCCTACTGCACGCCTCACTTGCACGACGCTGCCTCCGTTGCCCTCCTGGTGGTGGGCTTCACTCTGGCAGTGCCCCTCCTAGTCCTGGCCTTGGCCGCCTACTGCCGCTTGGCGCGCCGTCTCCAGCTGGGCTACTGCCTCGTCCCCTACAGCAAAGCTGTCTACAAGAACCTGCCGGCCTCTCAGTATCACAGCTCTGGTTGCTGCTGCTCTCGGGATCTTGACCCCGTGGAAAAAGTCTGGGTTTGAGGAAGGGGTGGCAATTTAGGAATGGGGAGGTCACAGATTTAAAAACAAAAACAAAACACAAGGTGGGTTCAGGATTGAAGAACTTGGTTGAAAAATTAAAAGAA